CTGCTGACTACAAGGCATTAAGACAGCAAGCTGATAAGTTTCACAGTCCAGAGATAGGGAAAACTTTCAGAAGCAAACAGTCTTTTTTTACCTATAACCAGGGGTGGGATACGACAGAGTTTACTATCGGTTCAGGATTTACAAGCTTCCCTGCAGGCTGCGAGCTGCATGCCTGTAAATCGTCAGCAGCAGCTGCCCGCAGAGAAGCAGCCTTTGAAACAGCCCTCTTTTCTTGCTTTTCTAACTGCAGCTGTGTCTCTTTCAGCAGCTGCAGTTGAAAAATCAGGAAATAAAGATCAGGTAAGAGCCCGGGTGGGTTGGTAGGCAAAAACATCAGCAGACCGGTTCTATGTCTGCTGCTCTTCAGAGCTACTGGTTCTACAGAGGTGGACAGAACCGGTAGAAACCCACCCCTGCCTATAACCAAAGGTAGCAACTGTAATGATCTTCCTCGGCCAGAGTAAAAATATTGGCTTCAATACAGACAGAAGCATCCCCTCCAGAAATATCCTCAGAAGTCCCTGACTCTTCTTTCTCCTTTTCCTAAGATAAATCCAATGAGAACACAACAGGAATGTCTCTATATGTGTCTATATGTCACATATAGTATATGTCTCTATACTTTGAAAAACTTTCAGGAATTGGTCCGAAATTGAAATAGCATGGTTGCTAATAAGTTCAAAGTATTGAAAAAAACTTGTCCTGATTGCTAATTGCATATCAAGCTCAATTTAAAATGATGGTATCAGCCTTAAATTACCTTAACTTTAAATATCTAAGGTAACAAGTTCAACCTACTATGAACTTGTCTGATTATTAAGATCTCATGAGAATCCTTTTGAAGGCATCTCCCATTAGATGCCTTCACTGTGGAACATTGAGATTGGGGGCTTCTCTAAACTTGCTCCCAATTTTAAAATGTTGTAGAACTGTATTTGGCATTACTCCAGGGCCTTTAGAAAATAAGCAATTATGCATCTCTTTTTTCACTTTCAATTATTCATTATTTTTAGATGGTTGATTTGTTCTTAGAAGTTTGTGAATTGCTTTGAGCATTTCATAGAGCAGAAATACAGAACATACACCAAATAAATTGATAAGGTCATATCTCATTATTTGTCTTGCACAATGTGAAAATATGTTGGGTTGTACCCATAGCTGCATCTAGTGAGTGTGTGGTGTGTATTTGTGTATGATAATTAGAGCTAAGCCATTTAAGGATTTAAAGTTAATACTTGTTAATAAATAAAGTTAATACTCTTGTCATTCAAAGATAGATGCAAGGATGTAGTGATCAAATCATATCTCCTTCCTCCCTTCTGTCTGGATATGATAATTATATGCACTTGTTTAGATAGTTTTATAAGGGAACAAGACAAATTTATGTAGGGTTTGGCTATCGGTGATCACAATTGTGATCAAATTGCTGATGGTTATGTGTATTCTGGTAGATCAAAGACAATATGATATTAGTTGTTGGGAAACAAATGGAGAGTGTAGTTTTGCTCATGTCTTGCTCTCAAATGTTCTCTTGGTATTTCAATATTAAGGAAGCAAAATGCTAGATCAGATAGGTTTCTTCTTAGCCAGCTCAGCTCTTTCTATGTTTTTTTTTTAATGTAATTGTCTTAGAAATGGGTAACATTCTCCTTGCATCTGAATTTTATTGCACTGATGAAGCAAACAGGGAGTTTGACGGTTGAGTTCAACAACACAAACAGAGAAGTAAAGGGCTGTATCTTCTGTTGAAATGTTGGTCCTAGATAATATCAATAGCTGCTAATAGTAAGAAAGCTGATAATTGGTCATTGTGGGAAAGAGAAAGCTGATGATTGGTCATTGTGGGTAATTGAGTGATTGCTGTAGAAATAAAACTTGGAGAGTTTAGGTCTGGGGGTGATCCCTAACAGATCTTTTTTTCTAGGTGAATATTACAAAGAACATAACAGAAGAAGGACAGAAATCTCTTGGCAATCATGAAAGAGATGATGGATAGAAAGGAAATGCCTTTTAATATAACGGTGGCCTGATTAAAAAGTAGAATTTTATCCCGAAACCATGACCAGGGTGATCTACATGGTAGACTAGATTGTTGACATATGATAGGCTGAACCACATAAGATTTTTTATTTTTGACTGAAGCTTTACAAATTTGATTATGAGGGATTTAAACTGAATTCTATGGAGAATGGAGATTAAAAACTGGAAGAACTGATCTCACATAAAAATTGTGCTTTGAAAAGAACCCTGGGGGGGGGGGGATCTATTAACTCACGCCCTGAAAAAAACTAAAAAAAAAAACCTTTTAACTCATAAAATCCAAGACTTCCATTGTTTATAAATGTTCACAATTGGGGAAATAAATAACAAATTGTGTAGAAAACAGCTTGATTAAAATAAGTGGAGGAACAAATAAAAGTAACTCATTATAATATGGGAATATACTTGCAGAGATTTAAAAAAAACTAAAATTCAGTATAAACGGAGTTTTGGGAAATAGACTAAGAAGAAAAAGAACTGTTCAAAATAAAATGTAAAGAAATTAAAGAAAAACCAGTTCTTGTTTTGGCTTCAGTTTCTCTAGAGAGAATATGGCATTTGTGATGTGCTGATAAAAACAGCAGCTTGACATTGATAAAACATGTTCAAAATGTACCAATTTACATGGAATAGGCCTCATTTTCCACTATCAGTTAAACTGCATTCTGTGCTTCTAAAGAAACTAAATGATGGCTTCACTAATAGTTTAATGCTTTATTCAAAAATCCTAGACTATCAGTGAATAACCAGACAAAGGTCAGAGGGTAAAAGTACTAGTTTTTAAAAACACTCAAGGAAAGTATTGTTTGGAAATCAGTTTGATTTAAATATTTGGTGTGAATTATGGATTGTAAAATTACAGATCTTTAAGCACCATAAAAACTATACTGTAGTCATCATGGATTCCTCAAGAACAAGTTATTGATTGAGTAATATGTGCCATCAAGTCACTGTTGATTCTTAGTGACCAGATGTAGTAGATCAATTTTCTCCATGACAATCTATCCCTAACCTGGTGTTCCATTGGTACACTCATCACCATTGTAACTACTCCATCCATACAACTTGTTTGCTTACAATTATTAATTTATTTATTTGAATTCATGTATCTGCCCACCGCACTGACATGTGACTTGACATGACCATGATTGCTACTCATCCCCATCTTCTTCTTTTCACCTTTTTCAGCTTTAGAGCTTCTCTACAGAGCTAATTCTTTATGTGTCCAAAATAGGATAATTTGAGACTGCTCATTTGATCATCCAGTTGTGTGTCTTCTTGGCTGTCATGGTATTCTCAGGAGTCTTCAGCAAGTATTATCCTATTAATCTTGTACCATTTTATCAATTGCTTTCATAGATTTTTGGCATGCTGTAGACATAATGCATCAACTTCAACAAATATTTGGCATGGTATACTATGATATTGTATTAGTTTAAGCATCCCTTCTCAGTTTGGATTGGATGACGTCTATTAAATGGATCAAAAGGTAGGGTGAAAAAGATACTTAAATAGCTTTCATCAATTGTTTCTCATTATATTGTACTAAGTTATAAAGCAATATGGCATACAGTTTAATCCCTGGCCCAGTGCTTTTTACATTTTCATTAGTCTGCAGATGAGACAAAACTGGCTCATATCCTAGAAGACAAAACCAAAATGATCTTCATAGCTTAGCAATAGGCTGAAAATAAGATAATTAAATTTAATGTAGATAAAATAAAATGTAGGAAAAATGCAGAATTGCATGAGATAAAGAATACCTGAAAATAAATATGAATCTTAGAATAATTGCTGATCACCAAGTTAAATATTAATCATGTGTGACATTACTAAAGGCAAATGTGATTTTATACTACCCTATATTTTGATTTTTAGAGAAATTGTCTTAAGCCTATGCAAAGAAAGGCAGGCAAAGAGATGATTAAGGAATTGAAACAAAAGTTTGATATGTACGTCCTCGTTGGTGATTCATTGCTAAGATTGACTGAAATTGGGGAGAAGTGTTTCCAGCATTAATGTAATGTTTTCCCTCCTATGCTGGCAGAACTTTGTGGCAACTCTATATCACATGGAAAAGGAGCTTTAAGAGTATAGCAATCTGGGTTATTCTGGGATTCAACAAGCTTGCTTTTAGTCTGCTTCTCCAGCCCACTCCTTCCTTCAGTGGTCACTTTTGCTGTTGTGACTAAAGGGACTAGACATTTCATTGGCTCAGCCTGTTTCTTCTAATTCAGTCTCATGCAGGTCTTCCAGGAAATCTATATTCCGAGTGGGACACAAATCTAATTTTGTTTTTTTATAGAATTTGCATCATGCAAAAGGTTTGGCTTACAATGGGGATGTAGAATGATATATGGAATAATGTTCAGAACATATAAGAAAGCAGAATGTCAGGAATTTTACATTAGAATCAATCATGCAGTGACCTTTCCTTTACTGAATATGTTCTGGTAGAAACTGGAAACCCATCCATTGGGAATATTTTCAATGATTTAAATTTCCATTCCAAGCCTATGATTGCATTATTCTGTCATGTGATTGATCTGAAAATGAAATGATTTCCTTTGCTGAAAAAATGCAGTTGCCATTATAAAATATACCAGCTGTGAAACCTACATATACTGTAAGATGCTTGACATTAAAAAAAATCAAACTAAAAATACAGAATACTAAGGCTGGGGGTCAAGTGCATATATATTGGTTAGCAATAGCAATAGCACTTAGACTTATATACCACTTCGCAGTGCTTTACAGCCCTCTCTAAGCAGTGTACAGAGTCAGCCTATTGCCCCCAACAATCTAGGTTCTTATTTTACCCACCTCAGAAGGATGGAAAGCTGTGGGACTTCCGGTTGCTCATTGTCAGAGTCAGAGCAGAATCCGCAATCATGTGTGGTTTCCCTCTGAGCTCACTTGTTGGATGGTCTCAATCGGGACTGGAACCATTCTGGAGGGGTGGTGAAGAAAGGAAGAATAGCTTGGAGAGTAGAGAGGAACCACAAATCCCCTCCCTGATAAGAAAAAACCCTTCCAAAGGCAAGTTGCAGTGGTGGTCTAAAATGGCCACCACGAAGATGGGAAGCAGTCTGGGAAATTAAGACTGTGCTGGACTGGTGAAGTAGCAAGCTGAGTGTGAACCAGGTAATATATATGGACTTTAAGGTAGCCTGGGATTAAGAAATAAAGAACTATTTTGGAGGAAAGTGTGTAGAGGTGGCAACCAGAGAGAGTGAGAAGGAAATTGGACTTATAAAATTGGCTTGAACTGACTTCTGGCAGTGACATGGCAGGAATTTGTGGAAGAAGATTGGGCTCTGTCTCTTGGACCAGATCTTTCATGTTAGGAGCCTGATTAGAGGGTTGCATTCTCCCAGAAGCAGACGCAATAAAGAGAGGAAGCTCAGGGGACAGCATGGTGGTTGGCAACTACCCGCTGGAATGAAGGGAAACCTCGCAAATCCTGTCAGTCATACTAACATGGCTGACCAGAAGCTGTGACAGCCACCAGACTGGGAAGGAGAAGGTCGGCAAAGCATAGTTTTGTGCAAAAGCTAAATCCCAGGAGCCATAATTGCAGCAGCATGCAGAGAAAGTCCTACAATCAGGAAGCAAGTGAACAGGCTTGGACAGACAGAAACGGAAGGTCTCAGAAGACAGTGGCTAAAAGGCAATGAGAGCCAATTGCAAGGGAAGAAGAGTGTAGCCGGAAAGATTTGGACTGAGAATAAGGATGTGGAGAGAGTGAGAGTAAGTGAAAGTATATGCGAAGAGAGAGGAGGAAAGAAACAGTTGGATAAAGAAGGATAGAGGAGTTGGAACTGGAGTTGGAGGAAGGGATTCATCCAGAACGTATAAAGACCAAGTGACAAAGTGACTAAGCAATTTGAAGGGAGGAATTCAGTGGAATGGCACGAAGGAAGGAAGAAGGAAAAGGAAAGTGAAGTGAAGAAGGAGAGTGAAGGTTTAGACAGTTTCTTCTGAGGACGGGATCGATTGGAAGAAATTGGACAATTAAAAAAAAAGCTGTCAGTTTATCATAGAAACCTTCTGTTTTAGAATCTTTATCATACCTTGAATGTATTTGTGCTTATGAAAACCAATTCATCTTTATACCTTGTTCCTCTAATTTTTGCATAGATTTAAGTTCACCCTTTTCATTCAATATTTCACCATATCTAACTGTTTGTTCCTTTTTATATATTATAGGATAAGAAAATGCTTCAATAATCGATAGCCAGACTGGGATTTTCAAATAACATTGCCTTTTAGTCTTTTCCCAGTTTAACCACAGAGACTCCCGTATATAATGTCTTCTAAAATACCCCTGTGTTTTAGTCATACTTATACTTTTATCTGTCCTGTTTACAATTTCATTACATATTCTTATATCATCATTTCCCAAAAAATTCCTCCTCATTTCAAACATCACAAAACAAAGTTTCCCTTATAATTGCCAATTAGAGTATGTCACCTTCATATCTTATAATTAGTTCCCTTTCAAATCCCATTAAACGTTCAACTTTTAAATTGTCCCCTTAAACAGTTATAACATTCAACTCCTAATAACTATATTATAACATAAATCCCTTTTCAATCAGATTCTGCACGGTACTTTCCACTTAAATTACCTCCAATACATTTTAAATTTAAAAAAAAAAGAAAAGAAAAGAAAAGAAAATAAGATAATTAATCTATTCAAATTCATCCTAGAAACTGATATTGATCTCCTTACACTCTCTCTCATAATTCATTTCAGCTATATTTTGTAGATCATTAATATACATATTTTCATATCTCAATCCTTCTCATAATTCATATTTCATAGGTCGTTAAGTATAATTAATGTACATATTTTCATATCTCTATATTTAATTTAACTGTTAGCAAACATTCCATTAATTAACAATACCAGTTTCATCTTCCACTTTAATAACATATATTTTCCTATTTTCAACATAGTTTATTATTTCTAATATATTTAAACTATCCCTTGTCACCTTGCAGAATCCTCTCTTAATTTTTATTTTCAACCATTATCTCTGTGACTTTTAAACAAACTATTTCTTTTTATTCTTGTTTGTTTCCCATATTTCTTTATTTCCTGATTCTGTTTCTTGTAAATTCTTTTCCCCTTTCTCACTCCAATTTTGTCCCCCTCCCTCTTTAGCACTTCCTTCTGTAATCCTCCCTTCTGCTTCTTCCTTGTATTTTGTTTGTTTTTTGAACTGTTCTCTTATCCAATTACCTCCTCTAATTGCCAATTTTTAATTCCCTTTTCCCCCTCTTTTTACTTCAACCCTTGTTGTCCTATTTGTTTGTTAAAGATGGCCTCTTCTTTATTCAGCTCTTCTTCCTTCTCTGGAGCTCCTTGTTGACACTATAACAGAATCCTAGAAGAATTAGAGAACAAAGGAGGGACTATCATTTTCTTACAACATATCTAATAAAACATAATATAACATTCAGATGGTTTATCTCAGAAGGTGTGCTCATAACCTGGCAAGAGATAGTCTAAGGAAAGTGCAAGATTTTTATGATGAACTGATGATTATAGAAGAGGAATTGGATAGTAAGGAAGAGTTAGAAACCAGAAGTCAGGAGGAACAGGAACTGATTGAGAAGGGCTCAGAACAAGAAGAAAGAAATAAGGATGAAAAAGAACAGAGCGAGGAAGAGGGGGTCGACCAAGAGCACAGAAGAAAAATAGAATAAATAGAAGACCAAGACAACAATATAAACAATAACATGAAAGAAGAAATAAAGTTGCTATCCATAAATATTAACAGACTGAATTTTCCAATTAAACAGAAACAAATTTTCACTAACCTCCAGAAGCAAAACTCTGATATAGTATGCCTACAAGAAACACACATTAAAAGTCAACATAGAAATTATTTAGAACAACCAAAATTACGAAAACTATTTGTTTCATTGGCAGACTAGAATAAAAAAAGGAATAGCGGTGTATATCAAGGAAAAAATAAATGCAACACATATATACTCAGATCCAAATGGAAGAATATTAATGATAGAAATTGTGATTCAACAAAAAAGTATTATTAATGATAATATACACCCCCAATGAAAACCAAAAAGAATTTTATAGCAAGGTACATGAAAAATAGTAGAATTAGGACAAGAGAATATTTGTTTAATTGGAGATTTTAACACAGTGGTAGATATAAAGCAGGATTATAAAAGTACCCCCCCTCCAAAAAAAAAGAAGGAGGAGGAGGAGGAGGAGGTGGTGGTGGAGGAGGTGGAGGAGGAGGAGGAAAACATTATCAAAAACATTTTTCAATCTGGCCGATGAGGTGAATCTGAGATATAGTTGGAGAGAGTTAAAAGGGAAGAAAGTAAATATACTTATTATTCAAACTACCATCGATCATGGTTCCAAATAAGGAATGGATGAATAAGGAATTATAAAATTAGATATATTGACTAATACTTGGGGAGATCATAATCCCTTACAGATAATTTGGAAAGGACAAAAAAGACAATTGATTCCGCTTTTCACAAAACTGTTTCAGGATTTAATAATAAAATTGAATTGTGAAGCTGAATCAAAGATCACAGAATATGTTGCTGGGAGAAAGTGGCAAGAAAGCAACAGGAAGAAAGCAGAACTACTTAATTTGTTTTTTGCATCTGTCTTTACAAAGGGGGAAAACAGTCTAACCTATCAAAAATAGCACCACAAAAAAAAAAAAAAAAAGATTAGGAACACAATTAAAATAGGGGGAAAAAATGGTACGTGAAAACCTATCTACCCTAGACGAGTTCAAATCACCAGGACCGGATGGATTATACCCCAAGATTCTGAAGGAACTGGCAGATGAGATCTCAGAACTACTGAACTATATATTTCAAATATCCTGGAGCATCAGGGAACTGCCAGAGGACTCGAAAAGAGCTGGTGTAGTTCCCATCTTCAAAAAAAGGGGGAAAAATAGATCCAGGAAACTACAGACCTATCAGCCTAACCTTAATACCAGGGAAGATTCTGGAAAAGATAATCAAGCAATGAATCAGTGAACACCTAGAAGCAAACAAATAACCAAAAGCCAACATGGGTTTATTAAAAAGACTAATCTTATTGCATTCTTTGACAAAGTGACAAAATTAGTTGACCAGAGGAATCCTGTCAATATAATTTACTTGGACTTCAGTAAGGCAGTTGATAAAGTAGATCATAACCTATTACTAGATAAAATAAAAAAATGTGGGTTAGACAGCATCACCACCAGATAGATACATAACGGGCTGACCAACTGCACTCAACATATAGTTCTCAATGGAACTGCATCTACATGGAGGCTCTGTTTTAGGCCCTATATTCTTCAACATCTTCATTGTTGAAGTAATTCCCCTTTAGGAGAATGAGCACATACAGGGAGACGTATTTGAGAGAAGTGTTTGAATAATACACACACAGTACACAGATACACTGTACAGTAAATGTAGGTTTTTACTTCCAGAAAGGTTTAAGCAAAGTCCAAAATAAGCAATCCAAAGTCATTCATGGGTAAAATCAGTTAGTTTTCAATCCAAGGATAATCCAAATATCAAATTCCAGTGTCAAAAACAGTTCAGTAACAGACTTACATTAAATCCAGTAATATCAGTCAGTTAGAAGAAATGGAGGAATGGCAATATTTTCCAACAGAAGGAAACAGAGATAGAGTCACACTCTCTTCTGAGATTAAGACTAAACAAACCAGGTTTCTGGCTCCATTTTATGGCTGTTTGAGAAACCACACCCAACTACAGTTTTGCATTTTCTTAAAGATACAGTTTTAAAATGTTTATCCTGGTTTATATATTTCTAACCCAAATAGCTGTTAGGTGACTCATATTCCTAACATTCATCAATGTCTTGGAGAAGGAGATAGATGGGGAACTCATCAAACTTGCAGACAACATCAAGCTGGCAGGAATAGCCAACACTCAGAAAAAAGGCTTAAGATACAGAAGGAACTTGACAAGTTTGAATATTGGGCACTATTTAACAAAATGAAATTCAGTGGTGAAAAAAGTAAGGTTCTACATTTAGGAAAGACAAATCAAATGCACAAGTACAGTATATGTGGTACTTTGCTCAATAGTAGTAACTATGAGAGGGATCTCGGAGTCCTAGTGGAAATATGAGCCAGCAGTGTGCAGCAGCTTCCAAAAAAGCCAACACAGTTCTAGGCTGCATAAATAGGAGGATAGAATCAGAATCACATGAAGTGATAATTCCACTTTATAATACCTTGATAAGGCCACACTTGGAATACTGCATTCAGTTTTGGTCTCCATGATGTAAAAAAGATGTTAAGACTCTAGAAAGGGTGCAGAAAAGAGCAACAAAGATGATTAGGGGACTGGAGGCTAAAACATATGAAGAACATATGAAGAATGGTTGCAGGAACTGGGTATGTCTAGTTAGAATAGAATAGAATTCTTTATTGGCCAAGTGTGATTGGACACAAAGGAATTTGTTTTAGTGCATATGCTTTCATAAAAAAGTTACAGGTTTGCTTCAATAAAAATATTTCAGAAAAAATAGTTTGAGGATTGTAAGTCTGAGAAGCAATTTATTTAGTTTGCATTTTGCCTTTTTCTAGCAACAGAAAAGAGCTTCTGTATCTTTGATATTCATCAAATAATTAGATCAACATGTCATACCTTTCCATATGAAACATTGTTTACATAAGAATGGGAAAATTAACTTCTGGACAGTTTACATTCAAACTGAGTGATATTGGAGAAGGCAGAAAATTTTATTCCTACTATATTTATTCCTACAATATCAAAGAATGCACCTAATTTCATAAACATAAGGATATATATATATATATATATATATATATATATATATAT